CTCCCCGGCGCCCCCTCTCTGCGGCCCCTCGGCGAGCCCCAGGTGCCGCGGTCGAGCTGAGGTTCCGAGAGCCCACGAGTAAGTGGAGGCTGCGGGCGCTGAGAAGGGAGGGGCCCCTTCCAGGCCCCCCCGACCCGCCCCACGCCCCACGGCCCGGGGAGGTGAGCGGAGGGGCCGGGTCGGCGGAGCGAGCCGCCCCGTGGCTCTCCCGGCGCGCACGGACTCCCCAGTGTGACCCCGGGCGAGCTCAGTGGGAAGCCCCAGTCGCCGAGGGCTTCCTGGGGCGCGGGGGGCTGCGGCCCTCCGCGAGGGCGCGAGGGTTCCGAGGCTGTGCCGAGGGGCGCACCCCGCCTGGCCTGAGCTCTCGCGCTGCGAGGGCCCCGCTGCGAGTCGGTGGCTGAGCGGGGTCCCGGAGCGGGGTCCAGAGGGTTTGCCCCGCCGGGGCGAGGTGGCCCCGGACGCCCCTGGAGAGGACCTCACCTGTGCCGCGGTGCCAAGCGAGGCCTCGCCGGCGCCTCCCCTGGAGCTTAGGCACCCAGGTGGCAGAAAGAAGCAGATACTCGGCAGTCGGCGTTCATTTTAATGAAAGGAGGGTGGAAATCCAGGGCGACCCCGCACGGGGTGCAAGTACAGAGGCGTTAGTTCTGGAGGAAGAACTAGAGCAGGTGTGCAGACATCAGGAGCGTGGTGTCCCGGTCCATAAATAAATAAACCGCTCCTCCAGCTAGACAGAGTCTGCGAAAGATTCCGTGCGTTACCAAGCGTGGTGTCTTGATGTTTACGGAATTCCGGCTACCTGGCACCAGGACGGGCCTCCAGCCCTTTGCCCACAAAATATGCTTTTTGCCCACTTGAGAATTTGACAGGGAAGCTGATTTTCTGGTAGATGGATTCTGAAGAGGCGACAAGGCGCGTTTCCCATTTTGGCAATGGAGGAGCCTTCACCATATTTGGGTTTGCTTCGCTTGGACGCAGATTACACTCGGCCAATGTGAAGGTGGTTCTGGTGATGGATACCTGATTAATTACCTGCAAAGTGGTGGCGTTAGCTTGATAAGGCATCTTCCCGCTAGTGCTTTCTGGGCCTCTGGGTTAGGTTGGTGGAACTAGACTTTCCCAAAAGAGGTGGCGGATTTGAATACCCAAATTCTGCTGGATAATATATTAGGTCCAGTTCTGAGCTCAGTGTGGGGCCCTGAGGCTGCTGTGTACACTGACTTCTGTGCTCCAGTGATCACAAATTCTGATGTGACACTTAATCTCAAGTGTTTTCCTACTTTAAGGACTTTTAATATAAAATAAATCATAGAACTATAAGAACTTTAAAACTAAATTCTCATTTAATAAACATTAAGATGAATCCCATCAAGATTAAATCACTTACACCATTGCATTTAATTAGGTAGTTTCAAAAACAGGACCTAGGGACCCAGTCTTATTGCTTTCCACTCTCCAAGGCTTTATCCCCAAATAGCAGCTTTACATTCTTTTTCCAAAATAAAAATCCTTTTAAAAATTATATTACAGTGGTTTGAGCTCCCAGTCTAATCAATGAATTCATCTTAGTAGTTTTAGAACAGGCCTTCCTCATGGTTTATAGTTCAAGACTAAGACACTAAAAGGTAAGTTAATTTGATTTAAAAAAAAAAAAAGTATGTAGCTGCTAATAACCCATGACCCTACCTTTCAAGATGTGGAACATTTATGAGACTTTGCAATGAGAACTACCTGTCTTTCTTGCTACTTGGGAGCTGGAACTGACCTCTGGCATAAGCATGGATGTCCACACCTGAGCTTCTTTATAGTGCCACTGATGGAATTTCCAAATAAACAAATGGTAAATCAGTAAAATTTGAGGCAATAATAAGAGAATTGTCATTAAGCAGTGTTGTATACATGTAAACCACCCCACCACCAGTTTGACAGCCTAATTATTTAAGAATCAAGAATCAACATTGGGTTGTTTCCTAAGATTCAATCTGGAAGGCGAACTTGGAGGCTGCACAGCCATCTGGCCCTAGAATGTGGAAATGGCCTTTTCCACCGAGTCCCCTTCAGAAGTGGTGAGTGACCCATACCCGCTCCATCCAGAAGCCAAATCAGTCTTTAGCCAGGAGGAGCACTGCACAAGGGTGGCCAGAGAGGCCTCTCCTGACCCTCTACCACCACTGGGCAGCCCCACCTACTGGCAGGCTGGGCCTTCACCCTGGTAGCAAATGGGAGCTGGACTCCTAGCTGGCTTTACTGCCCCCCCCCCAAGCAGAACATGTGGGTGCAGGGCCTTGTCTTCCCAAAGAGGGTGCCCTCTGCCGGCTAGTGGCAGTTCCCACCCTCCTACCCTCATAGCCCAGGCCTAGCCAGGCGAGTTTTTCTTAACCTTGGATGGAGTGAAGATTCTCATGAACAAATGAGTTTTATCATAAAAGATGAAATATTTGACCCCACTTGAACTAAATTGTATCAGTAAAGCTCAAATGATTATCACTGGTGTAAATTATGTAGGTATGCGTTCTTCTATGCATGAATATATAGTGACATGAAGACATAGTCTTATGTATGGGAAATGAGCACAACTTAAATTCGGTAAATATTTATTCACTTTATCTCACCCACCATCACTTCTGTGCCCTCATCCCTCCCTCTTAATCTCAGAGACCTCACAACAGTTACTAATGCCCTCAAGGATTTGTCAGCATTTCAGTTTATCAAGTCATCTGTTATATAATTGTCCACTATATGTATCTGTCACTCTGATTACTTCATTTTACTTAATTCCCTCAAACTTCCTCCATTTGCTGCAAATGGCTGCATTAATCTTTCTTCTGGCTGATTATACTCCAATAGACCACATCACCCACGGATGGACATTTAAGCTGCTTCTACCCTAGATTATGTAAATGGTGCTGCATAAATGCTTAAAATAAAACTATTTTGGGTATTATGTATGGATTTGTGACTTTCACATAAGTATGTATTATTTAATTCCATTTCCATGAATATAGTATTATATATATATATATACATATATTCAAGATTATACTTAGATATCGTCATCGAATTTATACTATAAAGATCTTCATCCTCAAATTCTTTTAACTTCAGCATCCTTTAAAATAGATGGAGACCAACTGCTTTTACTCTGTTTTTTATGTCCAAGCTCATCATACTCTCCATCATATGCTCTTTCTGTTTATTCAGCATGTTCCGTTTCATTAAAACCACAGCCATATCCTGCTCTTCCTTCTGACAGTATGCTTGGGGGTGTCGCCCAGGTGCCCTCTGCTCTGGCCCCCAGTCAGTGCCACCAAATTTGCCTCGTTCTTTTCTACAAACATCTTTCCTATTTCAGTGTCCACCCCTTTTTCATCACCTCAACTTCAGTTGTTTTTCTCCTGACCACTTCTAGTACAGCTGGTTCTTAGGATGAGCTTTACGCTTCCACATATTTTTGTGAGGGCAAACCCAGTCACTGTCACTGACTTGGATGTTAAAATTCTCATTCAGCAGCGTGGACAACGCTGTCTTTCTGTACCACAAAACTGCATTTTGGTCAACAATAGAGGATAACTGGCTATAGAATGTTGGCTATACCATCTAGTGCAGGTATGTCATAAGGTGGACCACTTAAGTCTGTACGTACACTCCATGACACTCACACCAACATAACATCATCTAACAATGCATTTCTCAGGCCTACTCCAGTTGTTAAGAGACATGTGCCTGTTTTAGCATATTTATCGTAAGCCTCACATAGTTGCATTTTGCTTATTTCAGCCAATGTGACATTTGAAGTAATTATTAGCTATCATATTATTATCTTTTATTAGCTATCACATTTTCTTCTTTTTTTTTTTTTAGTGCTATTTTGGACTTGGAATAGCTTTAACTTTTCACAGCGTACTTTAGATAATATTGTATCACTTCTCATATAAAAGTCGTTAGCAGAATCTTTCATTTTTTCCCCACCTAGCCTTTGTGCATATATAAATTAACTTCAGTATATGTATTATTATTTTTGTAAGATGGATATTTATCTTTTAGAGAGATTTAAAAATAGGAGTAGACATCTTTTACATGTACCCATGCACTTAATCATTTCTGATATTTTTCTTTCCAATTTCTGTCTGGTATGCTTTTCCTTCTCCCTGAAGAATACGCATCACAGTTCTTGGTACTGACCTTAATTTCAGCTTTGGTGTGTCAGCTTTTGGTATTTTCACCCTTGTTTCTAGTATAAAATTGCTGGGTATAAAATTGTAGTTTGACAGCTTTTGTTCCTTAATAATTTAAAGATGTTTTTCTATTTTATTTTTCCCCATGAAAACTTCTTCTCTTAGTTTATTTCTTAATGGGTATAATGTGTGGTTTTTCCCCTGCTGGCTTGTCTTATTTCCCCTTTATCAGTGGTTTTGAAGTCATTGCATTCTAGTATACCTTGCTGTAGTTTTATTATGTTTCTTGTACTTGGTTTTTTGTTTGTTTCTTTGATCTATGAGATTGTAGAGTTAATCAAATTTGGAAAAATTATAGCTATTAGTCTACAGCATTTTTCCCCCTCCTTTGAGGACTGATTTTAAGTATATCTCAAAACTCACTGAATCTCTCTTCATTTAAAAATTTTTAATCTTTAGTCTCCCTGCATTTCATTATATCATTTAGATAGCATCTATGTCTTTAAGTTCATTCATCTTTAATTCTGCAATATCTAATCTTCTGTTTATCCAATTTCAGATGGTTTCTTTTTATTATTTTAAGCTCTGCATTTTTCATCTTGAAAAGTTTGATTGGGTCTTTTAAAAAATCAAGTCTATACTTGCTCAATCTTTAACATTCTTGAGCCTATAAAA